GAGGCTTGTCTCATTGAGCTGGTCAATTGACTGTAGGTTTGCTGAAATGGACTTCCATATGACTTTTTATCAAAGTTTGAAAGTTTCTTGCTAAAAAAGCTGCATGGAGATCCATGTCATGCCTTAAGATTCTTGTTGAATGTTATTTTAAACTTGCACCAAAATATCTCCTAATAAAAGTATTATTTATCTAAAAAATATCTTAATGTTGAATTAAAATCATAATTATACAATTTCAAGTTGTATGTGAACTAATTTGACGAGTGTCAGCAGTACTCTCATGATGCTATTAAAGAGGGCTTTAGAAAATTAGACTTAATAATTTACTTTCTAATCAACTTAATTTCATTTGGTTAATGTTGATTCTTATATTACGGAATTATATGCAGTTCATAAGTATTTTTTAGATGAATAATTTTTTATCAAATTATGTACAATATATAAAATCAAATTAAAATTGTAGATAATATTTTTCTGTCTAATTTTTATTTAATAAAATATTTTTTTATATTTGGTTAAATATTTAAAAATTTAGGTGATAGGTTTGCTGAAAATGAAGTACAATGTAAAATGTTTGAATATTTGGTTTGCTGAAAATGAAGTACAATGTAAAATGTTTGCAACATACTATTATTGCAGTATATTTGAAATACTTTATGATTCTTTGATTTACTGTAAAATAAATGGTGTATTTTATATTTTTTATTTGATTTGAAGTAAATTAAAAATAATGTAATAAATTGTAATGCTTTATTTTATAGAAGAGAATTTTGGTGCATAAATAAATGAATTGGTTTTTAAGGTAAAATAAAATATGTCAAAATTACTTTCTTTGAAAATATATTTTTTTTCTCATCTAGTTATCCATTTTATATAAATTCATAGAAAATAATGGTTAAAAATCATTATTTAATCATTTTAATTCATCCTCCACTGACTGTTGTATTCCATTAAATTTGAATAAACATATTTATCTCCCGATTTTTTTTTAAAATATTTTAAGCAAAAGCCGCTCATTGAGAGCGTTTTTTTTATAAAATAAATTTATTTTCTTATTTTTGAAATAATAAAAAAGAATAAATCTTGAAATTGTGGAAATGATTTTTTATTTTTAAACTGAAGCTTTTCCAAGTCCGTGAAAGTCATTTTTTATCTATTAATATTAATATTATTAGTATTAGGGGCATTTACATGCATGCCACTCTAAATACTTACATTTATAAGGTTTAAATTTTTTTTTATATTTATACCACCAAAATTTTTATATCACATCAAAAATATCAATATTTTTTATATCTCATCACAAAATTTCATCATCTAACACAAATTTCGAATCATTATTTGAGCAGAAAGATATTTCATTTTAATTTCGAAGTCAAACAAAGCATTGATTTCAGCAAGCTTATAATCAAAGTAAAAGTCTTAATAAGACAAACTTAATGATACCAAAGTAGGTCTTATCCAAGTTCAATCAAGCCTGAATCAAGCTATTGGAACATATTTGAAGGCTTTAGGAAGTTAAAAGATCAAATAAATTCCAATTTTGACATGCTTATAGTCAAATAAAAATCTCGATGAGAGGAATCTTTTCTCTCTCGACTGCCCAATCCTCTAGGCCATAAGCAACTTGTCGCTCCTTTGCAGCTCCTAGTCGAGGAACACTTATTAGGTACAAATGCTGCACCTACGACCACCATTGCGAGCCAGGGGGTCTTTTGTTTTTTCCTCCTCTAAATCATGGCCGTCGTCTTCTCCTTCCGCACCTCCAACTGTCCGTATGTAATATTTGACCCTAACCCAAATAATAGTTGCAAGCCAAGGGGTCTTTTGTTATCATGGCCGTCGTCTTCACCTTCCGCACCTCCAACCGTCCGTATGTAATATTTGACCCTAACCCAAATAATATTGAGGAGAAAACACACCAAGACCAGGGTTAACTTAGGTGCGCAAAAGGACATTTTGAACATCTTTTATTTTTTATATATTCAAATTCCTCATAATAATAAGCACTAATGAAAAAAATTAATATAATAATTTAAAACATAATAGATTCTAATATAATGCTAAATATCCTAATAAATCAAATACAAAAATAAGCTGTGCAAATTTAGAAGAAATAATGTACCCACCATAGAAAAGACAATACAAATGAGCATTTAAACTTAAAACATAAGTAATAACACTCAAAATGTATAGCATTAATAAACTTATTAATCAATTAAATAGATCTTATACATACCTCACGTACGTCTAATTCATGGCATAGGTATAAATGAAAAAGCTAAGTGTCTGAGTTTGTTAATATTAAATTTAATGTGAATTGTTCAGAGAATTGTCTTACAAGTGAGACACTACATACATAACAAACGATTTTTATTTAAGTATTTTCATATCACATGCCTAAACTTTTATATTTACATACAAATCATTTTGAAGCTTTATAATGTGTGCATGAAAATGTGTATTTCAATTTTAAAAATTGATAATTACATTAGTTTTTATATTATATTAAAGATTTGAGTGTTATATGTGTAAAGAAAAAAAAAATAGTTGCGAGATATGCAAATGCATAAAAAATATAGTTTATGCATGTATAAATGCCCAAAAAATTTACTATAATAGGAAATGCATAATAATAGCATTTCTAAGACAAGCAATACAACAAGCATATACACTTTGAATGAAAACAATCCATTTCTTGGACCCATGTCATGTAAGGATATTGGCTATTTGTCCTATTTAGGGATATGTTTTACCTATATAAATATGTGAGTCAAGCCTAATAGCCCTACATGTTATGCACGACTTGAACGCACTTCACCTACTCAACATTAATTCATGGATGGGTTTAACCTATATAACCAATAAAATAAACATAAATCCTCAGTATTATAGTTGAGATTCAAATCTTAATCCTACTTAATAGAAATCATAAAAAAAAGATACTATAATCTCTCAAACAATTAAGGTGATATATAGACTTAAATAGTATCCATCAAATGGTGAAGCAAATAAATGTCGCTCTATCTAATTTATTGACGTATGTTATGATAGAGATATTAGTTCAAATGAGTCAATTTACTGACAACCAAGTCATATAACAATGTGGCTTAGGCTCAACCCTATTTGCCACTGCAAAGCCAATCTAGGCCTACCCGTCGCACTTTAGAAATGGCTTTTACTAGTGTAGTTGCTCACTTAACAAACAAATTATACAAGATGAAAACATCAATTTGGGGAGAGATTGTTTCTTTTCTTTAGTTATTGAAACAATAACTTGAGTAAGTTTCAAAGTTGATGTTGATAAGGTACCCCAACCTCATTAGTAATGACAAGCATCAACATTATTAACATTTAATAGAGTGGCATTGTTGATGTCAGTGGACGTCATTGCTAGTTTTGGTAGTATACATCAATTTTATTAATGATGGGAATGATGTGGAAAAACGGCGACAATAAAACAAAAAAATTGGAATGAGAAAAAAAGTCACAAAAAGATCACAAACACGCGGATTTAAGTGGTTCGTCAAATTGCCTATGTTCACAGAGCTATAGAAAATTGTATTACTTTAAGGATTAACATACCGCCGATCTTGTTGACTAATAAGAATGATCCCTCTCTTACTCGTGAGCCACCGAAGAAGAACAAAAGAAAAGAGGGAGCAGCAGCCTTCGCAATCCTTTCTTCCCATGACCTCCACTGCTTTGAGCCAACGCCGAAGTAGTAACCTAGGGGAGCACACCAACCTGCGATTATATAATTCCAGCCAAGCATTTTCTCTGGCCCATTAAGAAAAGCCTTAAGTTGCGGATCATGAGGAAGGCAGGACAAGTAGGCGGGCAAGCGGGAACATGGATTCGCGAATCCAAAGAAGAAGCGAGAGCGAGGAACTTGTGGAAAGAAATAAATACTTTTAGTTATATTACAAAAGTGCAAATGACATACATTAACCTTATTAGTAATAACAATCTTGAATGTTGCTAGGAACAACAAGTAATGACTTTAGTTCATTGGGTAGGCGCTGACCTGGATTTTAATAGCATGTATCGACATTATTGATGATGATAACACCAAATTTAATGTCGATAATATAAACTAATATTTTTGGTGATGACAAACATCGATATTATTATCTTTCACTCCTGTCTTCTTACCAAAATCGATTTAAGTCGGCTTCACTTCACTCTTTAGGCCCACATGCGAACACTCTATCATTTATCAATGTAGTTGGCTAACCCGCTATCCAGCTCTCCATCATTTCGCGAACGCACAAATAGCCCGACTAGATTTAATCCAGCTCTCCAACATTTCGCGAACGCACAAATAGCCCGACTAGATTTACGAGGGAAAGGGTTATTGCCAATAATTGCTAGCATTAATTATTTAATAAACATTTGAGATTTTTAAAATGAGTTTACTTTCACTCGCTCTTCCATTTTCTTTGTGGAATTATGATTGTTTATAATTTTTTAAAAAATATTTTGATTATTTTAGCCAAATTTTTTGAACACCTTAATAAATTTCTTATATAAAATTCTTTAGTCATTTGATTATATTAATTTATTTAGTCAGTGAAATTGATTAATTTATTACAATTAAATGATTAAAACCAGATAAATATTTTTTTGTTCAAAAAATTGTTTTAATTCTGAGGAATAAAGTTGTACTAAAAAAATGTTATAAAATGGTCAAATGTGCTTTGAATGTTTGATTATATGTTTTGTTTAATTTGTATCAATTTAGACGAAATTTAAATTAAATAATTTAACAGATGAACACCTTTTCGTAACCTACCGTGTAAATCACATGCCGCCTGATGATAAATCAACGGTTGGCAATGACTTAACTTAAACTCCACGGAGGTAATAAGACAGGTGGCGCGGGATCTGCAACTATGTAGCCTCTGCCGGTAAGATTACGAACAGTGATCAGATCGCAACCGACGGCTCAACAGCTATAAATAGGGAAAATGTGGAGGGAACGCAACAGAGAGGTAAACGTGCTTGTCTAGACTTTCATTCTCTGCTGCTCTTTCTGGCTTGCGGGCACGTTGAAGACACAAGAGATCTCCGAGAAGGCTTCAATTTCTTCGAACAGGAAGAGAAAAGCTCGGGTACGATCTGAGGCGATCCGTCGAGAACGGATCGGCTGGTGTTGATTAAGGCCCGTCGCCGTTCGATCTCGTGGTTCCGTGAGGGATCCGCATGAGCAGGTCCATCGACCTGAGTTTCTTCTCGTATTCGAACCACTTCAATACCTGTCTCCTGATCTTTGTCCTCGAGTATTCACCTCAACTCTTTGCTTTTTTGATTAATAATTCGAGTTGTCGTTGGAACCGGAACTACAAATCGGCTTGATATGGAGACTTGTAATGATTTTAGGAAAGGTATGTGCTGTTGAATCTTGTGATATTTTCTATCTTTTTTTATTTTTGTTTTTATTGTTTTTTTGTGTGTCCTTTCGTGTACTAGTATTGAACTGCGATTTGAAGTTATGTTACATAATATTAACAAAACATTTTTATTGAGTATAACAGAAGAAGCAGTAATATTGACACCCTGTGCAAAGTTTAGCATCCTTCATGTGCGTAATTGTTTGTGCAGAAGTATTGAATAATGGTTTGATCCTTTTATTGAAATGTTGTGATCATATTAGAAGTTTTTAGGGCTGAAAATGTAGCCTTCTTAATTTCAATTGCAAGCGGAAAACTCCTGCAGTAAACTGTATAAATGCATAGAAGATTGAGGCGGTGATTGGCTGCATCGCGGATTATTAATGGCTATCAAACACCACCTAAATAAGAAACTTATTAATTATAATAATAACATATTTGTATCTCCTTCTTACATGCCCTTTCTAGATATACTTCTAGGCGAGGAGTCCAAACTTGATATTCAATATAGAGAAGCAGGGCCGGAACCAACCTATCTTTTGAAGGGCCTAGTAGGCGGGGGTTGGGGCATAGACCCAATGTGGGAGGAGCTAGGGCAACGAAGGACAAAGTTATATTTTAGGAGAGACAAAATTGATATTTCAGGAGGAGCAGAGTCCGCCATCCTTTAGTTGTCGCAATAGATTATATAGAGAAGAAAGTGTTTTGAAGTGGTTTGGTATGAGCATCCTTTAGTTGATTATATATAAGGCCACATGCAGGGCATCTTTTTGTGCTTCATTTCAAATAAATTGATAATCAATTGCCAGAGTTCATTCATGAGTTAAAAAGAAAGATACCAATTGAGATAAGGTGCACTTTTGTTGTCGCAATAGATTTTTGGAGCCTATGGAAGGTAGATTCCAAGTTTAGTGTGCAGGGAGCATGGCCATTGAAGCTCAACAGTTGTGGTAGCAACAGAGTTGTATTCAGCCTTGGTGGAGTAAGCTATAGTAATTTTGGCAATTTAAGAGATGAGCTTTCAGCCAAGATACATAATGCAAGCACGTATTCATCCTTGACACGTGCTTAGTGCATATAAGAGAATGCATGAAGATGTAGTGGGGTTTAATGGTGACGCAGAAAGCTGCAATCTTTATGCCACATAGAAATTGCAATAACCTATGGGATGCAATCCGGTGATAAAAAGTGGGGATACAGTGCGACAAATTATTAATTATGAAGGATATTCCTAGACCTGTAAGAGTTAAGTGCCTTAGATTACCCACAACTCTATAACTTACTTGGGTTAATGAGTGTAGAACCATAGTGTCATCTGTCATCTGAATGCGAGCAAACTAAAAAAATAAGGAAAAAAAAGAAAAATAAAAAAAAGAAAAAGAAGGATGGATCGATATTGGGATCTAGTAAGTCCATGTGCGTGCTCAACAAATTGCTCACCAAAAAAATAATCATCTTAATGTGAGCAACAAGACCAAGAATGGTTTAATATTGGGATCAAATAAGCCATGTGAGTGTTCAACAAACTCTATGCCAAGAAATTAATATAGTGTCCCAATTCATTGGGAAAGAAGAGTGGCAAAGTTATGCACGATAATCTCAGAGTTGCTTATGATAATGATATTGCCAATCTAAACTAAATATAGATAAGTACATCGTTAGTGTTGAGGAAAAAGAGAGGTATCTCAACTGAAGAGTTGTTGATGCCAAAATTAACTAGAGATTGTTTTAGCATATAATACTGAGCAAGGGGGGCTTGCTTGAGGTCATATATGACTGCATAGCTCGCACACTTAAGTAGGATGGCCTATGCCAATGAAGCCTGGGGGTTGAGCCATATGGATGTCCTCAAAGGAACGGCCTTTCAGAAAGACACTGCTAATATTAAGTTGATGGAGAGATCATTTTCTACGAATAGCTATAGAAAGTACTAGTTGTATAGTGGCATGTTTGAAAATTAGATTTAAGATGTCGTGATAGTCAACTTTTAGTCTGTGGTGAAAACCTTTAGTCATTGTACTTGATTTAAAAAAAAAACCCACTTACATTTAACAAGATTTTGAGTTGAGCTGAGAGGAACAAGTTCCCATGTTCCATTTGGAACAATAGTTTTATATTCTTGTAGAATGGGTTGAAACTAAGTATGATCTTTTGAGTGTTTATGTTATGGTGGTTGGTTCAATATCGGGTTATTGGTTTAATTTGGCTAGGGGATACGAGTTTTTTAGTTGATTTGTTGATGTTGTTTTGGTTGTGAAGATCATTAACTGAGTGTTGTTGAGGTGGGAGGGGCTTTCAGTGTTTTAGTTATTGTGAAATAGAGTTGGGTTTGCTATGGATGGAGGTGGTAGATTTTGGTGGCGCTCCTTTCACGTGGATGTAGCATGCAATGGTATTACAAATGGGGACAATATGGACATTGTGTGTTTACCAAAAAATACTTAGAGGATGGAAATGGAAGGACTCCATGATGAGATTTTTTCTTCAAAAGTGTCACAAGATGATGCAAGAGGAAAGATAAACTTACCAAATTTTACTTGATAGGAGATTGATTTTGGTTTTGGGATCAAAATAAATTCTTATGTATCTACCTATTTAACACCTATACTTTTAGTCTTACATGCATAACACATTGCTAGTTCGATTGGTGATAGTTTTTTTGCTTGAGTAGATTGGTAGGGGTTCGAATCACCTCTTTTCATAAAAAAAAAAATGTATTTTTTGCTGGCGAGCTTGCTGGGTGGGCCAATGTGGGTTTGAGCTGGACCAATCTGGCTCACAATCCAAAAATGAAATTCTAGCTAGCTTGAAAATCGAATTAATCTACACCGGATCAGATCAAAATTTAGTAGGATCAATCCATGATCCGATTTCGAGTTATCTCTGGATCAGCTCAAAATCGAACCATTCACAGTCCTATTTATTGGTTCATTAGTAGCTTCTTTCCATATAAATGTATGCATGCATGCATGTGTGTGTGTGCACACACACACACACATGCATGCATGCATACATTTATATGGAAAGAAGCTACTGATACAAACATATCTATCTATATATATATACACACACACACACACATACATACATACAGACATACAAATACAAACATATATATATATTTTTGAGAATACATGTATTTCTACGTGTGTGTTGTATGTCGGGTGTTTAGGGTGTCATTTTAGGTCATTTCATCAAAAATATTTGTACCTTTCCTTTTATTAATATATTCGTCTTTTGGCCTTCTACAATATATATATATATATATATCTATATATCTCTGTGTGTGTGTACCACCCAAATCTTTCAAATCACATAAAATATACCAACATTTTAACTTTTAAAAAACGAAATACACCTTTTCATGCATCGGTAAGGTGGTATGAATGTAAATATGAAAGTTTGTGTGAGATATGTAAATACATAAGAATTGTGTGCTATGTATGTATATTTCCATTTTTATTCTCACTTCCTTTTCATTTCTCTTTCTCAATTTATTCTAACCAAATAGAGCCTAAATCTGGTTCTACCTCCAGTTTTCCGACATTTGCTTTCTCATGTACAAGAAAATAATAACTTTTATGATATTCTATTTCAGACTCTTCCTATATCAAAAGAAGGCGTTCCCCATCTGTCATTGTTATAGGTGCCGGCTTTGCTGGCATTTCAGCTGCCCGTGCACTCCATAACGCATCTTTTAAGGTAATACTACATCTTATTTTTCACAAAAATTGAAACACCAAGAACTTGATGGAATCTTCATCTTTTTGTACTCTGCTGGATGATTGACTGAATCAAAACATTCAGGTTGTCTTGTTAGAATCACGTGGTAGGATTGGTGGTCGAGCTTACACTGATTACACATTTGGTTTTCCAGTTGACATGGGAGCTGCATGGTATGCATTTGCCCAAACTTTTTTTTTGATGTTCTTCATTTTTAAAGGAGTTTTTTACTTGTGAAGGGTGACTTTTGTCTTCCTCCTCTTTTCGACTATTGACTTTTCTGTTATTCTAACTACTTTAGGTTGCATGGTGCTTGCCAAAAAAATCCCCTGGCTCCAGTAATTGGGAGATTAGGACTTCCACTCTATCGAACTAGTGGTGATGACTCAATTTTGTTTGATCATGATTTGGAAAGGTATTAATTAAACTAGAGACATTTATATACATACCGCATTATTCTTATGTATTTACATATCTAATACCTAAACTCTGTATTTACAAATACAACAACAACAACAATAACAGAGCCTTAATCCCCCTACGTGGGGTCGGCTAAACATGAATCCTTTTTCTCCATTATGTCCTATTTAGTTACATATTTTCATTTAATTATAATAAATTAAGATCATTTTTTATATAATAAACCCATGTCTTCCTTGCTCTATCTCTGTCTTTCTTAACATAAGTCGAATTTAGAATACTCTCCTAATTGGATCAACATATGGTCGACGTTTAATGTGACCAAATTGTTTAATGTGACCAAATCATCTAATCATCTAAGACGACTTTGTATTTACAAGTATACCACTTAAATATTTAACACCACATAAAAAATACTTCCATCACCATCTTTTTAAAAGTTCAAACACATTTTTTTTGCATAGGTTTCTGATTCCAAGGTCTTATAAGGTGTAAATATGAGAATTTAGGTGTTGATATGTAAATTCATAAAAATTGTGTGGTATGTACCTAAATTTTTCGCTGAACAGTTGCTATAAACTGCAACAAATTGATTTATCCAGTGATAGAAGATTATTTATATATTTGTTTTGCAGCTATGCACTCTATGATACGGATGGGAATCAAGTTCCACAAGAACTAGTTAAACATGTTGGTGGGATATTCGAGAGCATACTCAAAGAGGTAATGCCTTGTTTTGTATTTACTGTTTACTGTTTTACTGATCGCAATTCAGAATAAGGCTCTGATTCATTTATAAATGCAGACTGAGAAATTGAGGCTGGAAATTAGTGATGATATTTCCATGGCCAAAGCAATTGCTATAGTTTTTGAGACACGGCCGGACCTTAGGTATGTTAAGCTTCAAAATTTGCCTGTTTAGTTTGTTAATATTATGTCTAATTTTTGTGGCTTTCTGTAGGTTAGAAGGGCTTGGAGATAAGGTCCTGAAATGGTACTTATGCAGGCTGGAAGGTTGGTTTGCTGCTGATGCAGATACCATCTCCTTGAAATCTTGGGATGAGGCAAGCTTTTGTTGATTATTTCACTTTTTTTTTCTTTTTCATTATAATCATGCATGAAAAACCCGAATGCTACACTTTTAGAAGAATTAGCTTCAGTAAAAAAAAATTAACATATTTTTTCTCTTTCTCGTACTTATATCAAGGCTCTGTTTGGTATGTGTAAATTAAAGAGAGAAAATGAGTATTATAAAAGAAAAATTAATTGAAACACGGTTTGATCTGTTTATTTGGTTGACGAATAATATATATATGCATATCACACAGTTCTTATATATTTACATTTGTAACACCCAAAGTTGATATTTAACAACTTGATGCTATAACTTATGCATCAAAAGGTGTATTTCACTTTTAAACAAGAGTGATACTGGTATTTTTGATGTAATGTTCTAGTTTTGAGTGATATGAATATTTAAGTGTTAGACATAGATATACAGGAATTGTGGTGCGAATGTAAATGTCCTTTTTTTGGTTGATGAGATGCTGAGTTTTTTCTCTTGTTAGAACGGTAGATATCATAATAATAATCCATTAACTTTTTCTTCTCATTTTTTTTACTAAAGTAGGATATTCTCATTTAAACATGCATTTGCCCATATTTTGTAATAAAATCAATTACTTACTAATTATACGCATGCATACCAGACATCCCCTATATCTTAGCAAAAAATTTTGATTTATAACAATTAGTTCCTTTCCATCCATATTTATTTTGATGATTTCATAAAATTTATTCTTTGATTATCTAAATCAGTTTTGTTGGATCAATTATAGGAAGTTTTACTGCCTGGTGGTCATGCCCTTATGGTCCGGGGTTATCGTCCTGTTATCAATACACTCGCAAGAGGTCTGGATATTCGGCTTGGTCATCGGTACGTACCTATCATTATAGGATTAGCGAATTTCCTAGAAAACTTCATTTCTTATATTCTACCATTTCAGAGTATCCAAAATAATAAGGGATAAAATGGGAGTAGAAGTGATAGTCGATAATGGTAAATCATTTGTCGCGGATGCCGCTGTCATTACGGTTCCCTTAGGTGTGCTGAAGTCCAATTCCATTAAGTTTGAGCCAAAGCTTCCAAATTGGAAGGAGGAAGCCATTAGAGACATTGCCGTTGGCACAGAAAACAAAATAGCATTGCACTTTGATAGAGTTTTCTGGCCTAATGTGGAGTTTCTTGGAGTTGTCTCTTCTTCTTCTTACAGCTGCAGCTATTTTCTTAATCTACACAAGGCGACCGGTCACCCTGTACTTGTTTATATGCCTGCAGGCAAGTTAGCACATGACCTTGAGAAGTTGACCGATGAAGCTGCGGCTAGCTTTGCCTTCCAACAGCTTAAACAAATCCTTCCTGATGCATCAAAGCCGGTATGTTTTTCTCAATTCCTAAGAGTGGAAAAATCTCATAAAATTTCAAATTTATGTTCATTTCCGCTTCACAGATCCAATATCTAGTGTCGCACTGGGGCACAGACGTGAACTCTCTGGGCTCCTACAGCTATGACGCCATGGGAAAGCCTCATTATCTTTTCGAGAGGCTTAGGATCCCCGTGGACAATCTATTCTTCGCAGGCGAGGCCACCAGCCTAGCCTTTACCGGAACCGTGCATGGAGCCTTCTCTACTGGATTGATGGCGGCAGAAGAATGCCAGATGCGTGTGCTTGAGAAATACGGAGCCCTGGACCTCTTCCATCCGGCCATGGCGCAAGACCAAGAACTCCTCTCCCCTCCCCTTCTCATCTCCCGAATTTGATCGCTTCTTATCTCTACTATCCTTGCTTCAGTGATTCTCTGCAGCATTCCAGCATGCATCATGGAAGATTTGCATTACATATCACTCACTTCCTATGTATTTACATATCTGATACCTAAATTTCAATATTATGTATATTCCATCTTATTCATGCTTGAAAAAAATAGTGGTGCTTTTGTGTGATCTGAATGATTTTGGTGGTGGTATAGAAATGAAAACAAACTTTAGGGGTTAAATGCGTAAATACATTCTTAAATTCAATAATTTCAAATTGCCTTTATTACTCTATTGAACTTTTAGTAGCTGGCTATTGAACCCACCCTTGTGGAAAAAGGAAGTTGCTTGCTCACCAATGATTAAGGATATTCGATCAAGGATATCATTCAGCTGATTAGAGGTTCTTGTAATAAAAATTTGTTCAAGGTACTATGGTTTAAAATTGCGTAATATGAAGCTCGGCTTAGGGCCCGCTTTAACGCTTTTTGGAAAAATTCTTAACGATCCTTAACTTTCATTTTGTATGACATTAGACTCACACTTTATATAATATGAGACCCGCCTCAAGAAATGTCTCGCCTTAATTCTGGTGAGGCGTAGTACAGGTAAGAGGAAGACAATTTGGTCTTGGGTTTTTTGAAGTAAAATAGCTCTAATAAATATTTCTCACTTACCCATATTATACCAATTAAGAATGTAATTGAAGTTTTTGTTAACAACATAAAGTAAGAGGAAGATATTGAGATTTAAGATGAAGATGAATGAGAGAATATAAATACAATTGAGGATGAGATGAGGGAAAAAGTCTATCATTATATTGTTGATTTTAAAGAAGGGTTCGAAGGGAGTGCGTTCAATTAAAGTGAGCAAGGAATGGGGCCAACGACTCCTCTGGGTAGATGCAGGCGCTGGTGACGGATAGTGGAGGAAGGAACAATGGAGATAAACACCACTTGGGTAAGGTACATCTGTGGTACCACCACCGTCAGATACAACTGTTGAGGAGGGAATACCTGAACGACGCACCTGAAATAAAAAAATATCCAAAAATATATTGATCGACACACAACAATAATAAATAGATGAAACCAGGGGAAAAAATTAGGCAGGTGGAGAAATAGGTAAGGGAATTTAATGAGAGTGGAAGGAATAGATAAGAATTTGAAATTCAGTTCAAGTAGGAAAGAGAGGATTTGGTAGGAGATGAACTAAGGCATGAGATGAGGGGTTGAAGTTTCCGCCCCCATTGGGTCGGTTAGGATGGTTTGGTTCAGTAGGGAGCCTGGAACAGTATACGCCAGACCGACCAACAGAGCCCCCGTGTCAATCTTTTAGGATTGGGGGATTACCCGACCCTCAATTACACAATAATTTAACTACCAAAAGATGACAAAAACTTGAGATCCAAGTCATCGTGGACTTGTCAATCCAACTGCTACATGAGAACATATACAAGTCTAGCCATAATAAGAAGTTAATGAATCACCTCCCTCATGACACACAAAGATCAAATCAATCTACCAAGATCAAAAAGATCAAATCAATCTACCAACAATCCAAACATCCACCAACATCAATCAAACTGATCAATTCACACTAAACCAAACACAACACAACACTAACAATCATGACTCTTAAGCATACTAAATCAAACCACATTGATAACTATGGGTTGCCTCCCATAAATCAATTCAAATCACCCAATTCCTTCTCCAAATTTCTCATGACAATCATCCCCATTAATTTGATCAATCACTTGGCTCAAATCTTAATCCAAACCCAACCTAGACCCAAGTTCAAACCAAAACCCTAATTTTGAACCTAAACCCCAAATTGACTCAAATCTTTTGCATTAATCAATCTTAACCCTCTCCTAGGCTGGTTAGCCACCTAAGATGCTAATCAGATCACCCAAGGCCCAAGAATTGAGCCATGGATCAAGGGTCCCCCAAATTAAGAAGATATGCTCCACCATTTTGGCTAAACTCTTCCCTAATGCAAACAACCATCAAACCTCCAATGTAATCACAATTAAGACTTTCCTGACCCTCCCTGACTCAGCTAGCACCACTTCACCTCTGGACAACTACCCTAGTCACCAGAAAGCTCAAATACGAGGGGACCTTCCCTCCTTTAAACCCAAAATTGAACCCATCCACAGTGGCACTTCCCCATTGGATGCTTGGGCCGCTCGACTCTCCATCTCAGCTTTCTTCCACTAGCCAATCAGAGCCTGAGGCCCTCCCCTTGGCCATGGCTATTTATAAACTCCATTTTCGACCAACTTCACTGCATGAAGGAATTAACATGATTCCTTAGACTCGAGGGGGTGCTAAGGTTGGAGACTCGAGTGAACTGAGAAACAATATTCATCTTCACATTGCTATTAACCTCGAAACAAAGCGCACAAATACAATTTTGAACCAAATTTGGTTCATAATGGTTAAATAAACATAATCTAAATGATCTTAAAATTAGATTTAAAATACCAAAAAAAAAAAAATAATCTGAAATATTTATTATTAAAATCAATTATTAATTTTATTAGGCAACGTGACAGATATGATAAGAGATGATGGTCGTCGCGGGGAGCATTGAGGTCAACATGACATGAGGATAAGGTCTGCTGTGGGAATTTAAACAAAAAATATTAAACTTTTTTGCCACATCATGTCATGGCATGGAGGTTTAAGTTGAATTAGGGCCCGTTTGGGGCAACTTTTCAAAACGCCGCCGTAGTGTTTGGAATTCGAGTTGAGCAGATTATTCCCGCTGCACTACGTTCGCGTTCATCTTGTATCGTTGCCCTAGATACCCCTGATCTCCCTCACGCTCTCTCTCCCTGGATTTGTCTTTCTAGAGGAGATCGAACCGTATTTATATAGATTTTTCTTTCTGATTCGTAAGGTATGCTTTCCCTCACTGTCAATTCGTAAGGAATGCTTTCCCTAGAGCGATCGAACGTCGCTGGGCGTGAATGGTTCTTTATAGATGATCGAACGTCGTTGTTCCTTATTTTTTTTTCTTCCTTGACTGAAGAGCAAGGATTTTCGTCTTCTTCATTTTATTTTCAACTCGAAAAATACGAATGGTTCTTTGCCCTAGAATTCCTTTCGTTTTTTGCTGGGCGAGAAGAAAAGTGTGGAGAATGGATTCCTTATATCGGGGCCAAATTCTGTTTCGATTTTTGTTGCTCGTTTCGATTTTTGCTGGTTGTTGCATGACCGAAGAACAATAATTTTCTTCTTCTTCTTTTTATTTCACGCGAAAAGCAAGGATTTTTTCATGGAGTGAGGAATAATTTGTGAGCTCCTTATAGAAGGAAGGAAAGGCTTAAGAGCTGTGTATGAGCTGCTATTAATTTCTGTTTTTCTAGTTTATGAGCTGCTGTATTTGGGCTGTAATTAATTCCTGTTTATAGGAAACATAGGTATGAGCTTGGTTCATGAAAAAGCTGCTATTAATTCCTGTTTATGAGCTGCATATCTATGTATTCATTGCAATCCCCATTGGTGGAAAATGCCATCGTCTTTGGTATGGATTATGACTTTGATGCAAGCTATGGAAATTGATTTGGTTATTTGTAAAATGTATGACCAAAGGAGACATGTACATCTTGCTTGGCTTTGTTCAAATAAGCAAATCTTGATTTGGTTATAAATTGAAGATTGTGGCTTGGTTCATGAAAATGCATCACAAATCATTACGATATTGTTTATTCGCTTATGGTAGCTTAATAACTTGTATTTCTAATGTTTCAAATCTTTTTTTTTTTTTGAAAATAAGCTTTTAAAATTTAAATTTAGTATAATATATAATGTAATTTTAATTTTGTGAAAATGGTGTATTCTTTATGTATTCTTTATATTTAAAAAAAGATAAGACCGGATAAACCTCATATATCTAATAGTTTAAATAACGGATCACGATACCATAAATGATATATCATCTCAATGGATGAACTTATCATTTATTAGTAGGATTAACTATCTAAACTTAGAAGTTTATGACTCTATTTTGGTCTGCGAATTTTATAGCCGACAAATTCCCTTATCTAACACAGATTATACAGGGTTTAGATTAATATGAGATCTTAATTCCTTATAGAGACAATCCCCTATAGTTAATTACATCTTAGGCAACCGAAGTCACCTAAGAAAACTCTCGATTAAGATCAGGTTTCGTCTTCAAGAATTCAATGTTCAGGTTTCCACGATTATTCATAGGAAAAGTCAAATGGGATAGGTTCAAATATGAATAGTTATTTCTGGAATCCAAAGGAGTGAAGAGTAGGAGATGTCGAAGATACTGAATAAGATTCAGTGACATCTCAAACTAACCTATGATTTGGCTTTACATCTTTGAAAAGGAAATTATATGATATTTCAGGATATGGAAATTATATGATATTTCAGTCCTGCAAGTTATTTTAGAAGGAATTATGTAAATGACACGAGGAAATAGAAGGAATCATGTCGTATCAGATGACTATCTCGGAATCTTAAAAAGTTTAGGAATTATATCGTATGATATAAAAATTGTAGAAAGTTCTAAAAGATATTGTCATGCCTGACGAACGACCTCGACGACCTATAGGTATGTTATTTAAATCTATTGAAGTTCGGTTGAAGCTCCTCTTCCCACCTTCTGTTGTAGTCTTGACCGTTGTTCAGAGACGAATTGTCACTCGCTCACGTCATCGTCTCGGTCGAGATAAAGAAAAGACGAAACCATGCCTCGAACGGCCTATCCTAGGGTGTTATACAAACATGCTAGGAAAACAATATTTAAGAGTATGAATACAGATGAATGTCTATAGTACGATGCAGTACATGAAAGGAACAATTGTAACAAGAAAAGACTGAAGGAATATTATGAAAGTAAAGCGGTATAAAGAAAAGAAAGACTATGCAGTAAAGAAAGGAATATACAGTAAAAAACAAAACTGAAACAACTAAGTTTACCTGATTAATTCTGGCGATGCTACAAAAAATATTACAATTGCATGATATAAAAGAGTTAGACAAATATTTGCATATATTTTTTTTAAAAAGGTTAAAGGATGAGCATATGAAAATTTAAAGTGGGATATTAGCTTTTAGTTTGGTGTTAGACTCAGACTAGATCTCTTTTTTTTATCTCGATCCAACAGGCAACTGATATATCGAAGTCAACCTAT